AGTTTCACATTGTAGAAAAACACATACACGTAAAGCTGTGCTGTGTAATCATAAAAGTTTGCTAGCATCCCTTTTTCATTTATATAACCATTTGCTTTAGTTTATGAGTATAAACTATTTCACTTAGTTATTTCTAATATGCCAATTTTAACAATGAGTTACCCTTCATTAATTTAAACACATGCACAGAAGTTTTCTTTAGAAGCAATTGTGCCTGATTTCTGATGGCAGTTGCCTCCTGTTACTTTATATAGTTTTTTTCTCTATGTAAATATAGAAATGGGGAAGGGAGTTAAATAGTATTGCTTTTATTATTTGCTATGGATGTTATGCACATATAATTAAACTCCAATATCATATTGAAAGCCATTATCATATTGAATGTGCACTACACATGTGACTTTGCACAATACAATAATTGTGTGGCAGGGTCTTGTTTCCCTGCCACCCTTTCCTAAATAAGATTAGGTTGCATAGTTAGCCTAGCAAATCTGGACTGCATAAATCTAAACAAGTATGGTACAAGACAGCAGTAATAATTTTCTGTATCTTTTTGCTTCCATATAATGGTTATACAGATTGTTGCAGTCTAAATATGTAGCTCAGAGTATAGGCGATAGTTTCATACTGTATTCTGATCATGAGATAAATGGCTAATAGTTGTAGTCAGAAATAACTAAGTTTTCATTCCACTCTGCAGAACAATTGAAACTCAAACTGAAGAATATGATTCAAGGTATTAAGAAATATTTTTATTTAAAAGGATGCATGACAAATACAAAGTATAATCTGACTTTCTGGATTCTGCAAATTAATGAAATTGGAAAGGCACAAGAGATAAAACTGGATTGAGGATGTTCATTTTTTTCACTTCCCTTTAATTTATTTGTTATCCATTAATATGGTTCATCCAATCTACCTATCATGACATTCAAACTCTTTGTTTAAATTTTGATTAATTTTAGTGAATGATTTGTTTAAGTTCACTTGTTGGAAAACCCCTCCTTCTAATCTCTAAATATATAGCTAGAAAACCAAAAGAGTTATAAAAAGAGAGTGTTCCAGCCACAATATGTAATAGGTATTAATGCAGAAGCTTTAAGGATCTTGAGAGGATCAGATTTCTCTCACAAACAGTAATTGTGACCAATTAGATCAATATGAAATTTTCTTCCTATTTGGAAAAAGAAACCCAGAAAGTTATCCAAATAGTCACAAGTTGGGAATAATAGTGGTTGACAGGAATGGCATTCTATAGCTGCCTTTATCTTGTCATGCTATCTGAACAATTACAAGACAGCAGTTACAGCACCCATAGGTAAATTTCTTATCCATGATTTATGTTACACTAGGCTCAGTGCCTTGAACAAACATCCATTGGCACAGGTTAGCTGAAGACATTCCATTTAAAAAGACAACATTACTAAAAATGTGTGGTGTAGAAGTTGATAAGATTTAAATCAAAATCAACTAAATGCTCAAACTTTGCCCTGACTTGATTACACATCAAAACAATCATATTGTGCTTAGTGAGAATTGTCAAGTAGATTTATAGCTAAAGGCTATAAATAAAATTATAGTTTACATCTTAGACTATGAAATTGATTGAATTATTATTCCTCCCCAATCAATTTAGTTATATTGTTGAAGACTACAGTCAGGTAAGCAAATAGGTATTTTTTTTATATATATAAAAGTACAGGTAGTCCTTGACTTAAGTCCACAATTGAGCCAAAAATTTCTGTTGTTAAGTGAAACATTTGTTAAATTTTATGACCTTTCTTGTCACAATTAAGTGAATTACTAAAGTTGTTAAGTTAGTAACACAGTTATTAAATGAATGTGGCTTCCCCATTGATTTTGCTTGTGAGAAGGTTGTAAAAGAGGTTCCCATGATCCCAGGACATTGTAACTGTCATAAATATGTATCTGAAATTTTATTACATCACCATGGGGATGCTGCAACAATTATAAGTGAAAAATGGTCATACGTCTTTTTTTCAGTACTGTTGTAATTTTGAATAGTCAATAAATGAATTGTTTTAAGTCAAGGACTACCTATATGTACATTTCAAAAAATGTTGGATTCTGCATACTCTTATTTCATGTAATTTAGAAATGTGGGATGTCGACTTCGTTTACCTCAGTTTTAAAAACAATAGCATATCAACTGCTTTAAGTTTGGAATGTCTTGGTTAGTTTTTGGTAAAAATTGTAGTATGTATGTTAGGGCTTAGTGTGCATTTTAAAAGTTTGTCTTGTGTTTTTTTTCCAGGGGGAATCTGAGTAGCAGAAATCCAGTATAAATGTAATCTAAATACTGGAGAATATTTATGTTTTAAATTTTAAATTTTATTGAATGTATTAAAATATTTGTATCTATATGACAAATAAATATATTTTAATCTGCCATAATTTGAGTCAATATTTTAAATTGATTACAAACTGGATTACCGAACCTGCTGATGTTTAGAACTATGACATACATCCATATAACCTTACCCAGGATTTTATTTCATTCAGTAAAGTATGGAAATGCAACTTTGGCCTTTGCAGCCTTACATGGGACCAAAAAAAAAATCTTAATGTGGTACAATGACTCATGTCTGAGAGAAAAGTATAATAAGTTACTCTTTTATAATAGTATTTTATGTAGTTTATGCATGATTAAGTTAGAAGATTTCTGTTTATTCTTTCTGTTGCATATTAAACCGCTACCCTAAATCCCAAAAATGTGTTCAGTTAAAAAGTACATAATGAATTGTTACAATCTTCTTGGAAAACAGGAAGATCCGCCTGGCTAGGCATTTTTCTTATATGTACCCATTTCATGTATTCACAACTATGTATACACTTATACTTATTATCTTGTAAACAATTGGCAAATCAAATAAATAAAAAAAATAAAATAAAAAATAAAGTAAATAAAGATAAGGGACATCCTCCCAAGGCAAAGCCAGCAATGAAACAAGACACCTGATGCATAGAAAGCAAAGTCACGTTGACCCTTAAGCTTATAGTTAACTTTAGCTCATCTGTAAGAAAATAAGGAGTGGGGAGGGCCTCTTAAGATGTAGCATGCTTTGTGCAGGGGTATAAATATATTGTTTGAATATGGAATTTTGCTCTCCTTGTACTCAATCAAAGTGGGAAGGGTCTTGGAAGCCGTGCTTGCAACCACTTTGTTTTTCTTCAATAAAACTTTGAAATTGTGCACCAGACTTGTCTTCGTATTGTGAGTATAAATTTATCAGGGTCTTATATCTCACATGCCCATTCAGAAACTGCAGTTAATTTAGAAATGCAAAACCCCAAATGCTATCCAGGCCCCTTGATAAGAGCACATTGTACCTATGCTATCAACTTCCCCTCCAAATGGAAGATGCCCCAAATAATTAGTGCTGCTGATGCCAAGATTTGCCTCATGTCTCCTGTTCCCTTTTCTTTCTAGGGCAGGGCATTAGAAGCAGTTTCTTTTTAGGTAACTTAACAGATCAGGCCAGTTCTGGTTGGAACAATCAGTATTGTTGGTACCCATGTACAATGCCGTAAAGGTCTTTGTAGGTCAAACCAGCACTTTAAATTATACCTGGAAAATAACTGATTATCAATGCAAGATCCATAGCACAGATAAAATAGATGACAAAATAACTCAAAAATTAAAGAGCCAGTCAGTGTGACTACAATGGGTTATCCTCTGCTCAAAATCATTTAGAAGCATGCTGAGAACAAATATTTTACAGGCCATTCTAGTCAGATTGGGCAATCTGTTTTTATTTTTGAGTTATTTTATGTCTGAGTTGTCATTTTATAGCTTTTTAGTTGTTTTTCTTTATATGAGATTTGCTTGTAGTGGCATACAAAGATAATAATACCACACAATTTGTATTTCAATATGACCAAGGGTAAAGTGAGGCATTTTGTGCCTCAGTATTGCAAAATGAAGAGGTAGGGGCTTGAATAGTATGTCCTTGTAGTTAAATTAATGTGATTTTACTAAATTGATGAATATTACAATCTATTCCCAGAAGAATATGATACAAATATGGTTTTTACTTTATCATGAAACATGGTATTTTAGGGTTGTTGGATTTTTTACTTTTAATCCACCCAGTTACTAATTAAAGAGGGCCTGGCCTGACCCAGTATCAAAATTTATATCATGACTTGCTAACATAAAGAATGCAATGTTTAGACAAAAATGATTAACTGCACTCAAAACAAGAGGTAAATCTGCTCCAGGTTGGTTTCCAATCTTCAGAATTTAGGCTGCCGCTTCTGTGTATAACAAAAAAAGGAAGATCAACCACTTTTTTGGTTTCTTGATGTTATATATAATAAATCACCTGCCATATGTGGTGATGACTAATTCATTAGGGCTTCAAATTTTTTTTTCATCATCTAGTTGTGTAATTTTTTTTTGCCCACATCTGGTAGCCTTACATTCTTTCAGATTAAATCTAAACCGCTTTTTATATTCACATTTGGACTGATTTTTAGACTTTTAGTTTTACTCTATTGTCATAGCACCTTACATGATGAAATTCTGGAAAGTTAAAAGCTTATGACATTTTGGCTGGTCTTGATAGTATTTGCTCAACTATGCAAGGGGTGGCACGGGAGAGATGTACTATATTGTCCCCTGTGATCCCTCCAACATCTTTGGTTCTTTATGTATTTATTTTTTATCAGTGGAAATATGGACATCAGGACCTAGTATTTTTCAAGTTGCCTAAACAGAAATGTACTTTAAGTAACCTCTTAAGCAGGCGTGCACATGTAAATACAAAAACTATTATTACGCAAGAAAATAAACAAAACAACGTCCAATTAGTCAGCTTTCAAATGAATGCAGGCACCGTTGCATCTCATTCACCGTGACATCACTCTGTTTGCATCGTGGGGGAGTCCATCCGTTCTTATTTGTTACGGCGCTGGTAGAGGCAGCATCTAGGCACGCCCAACACCTTCTTCCCGCCAGTCACGAGCGAATAAAAAAGAAAGCAAGCGCGGGTTCGGAAAGCGAATCAGGAGAAGGCTCGGCTACAGTCGAGTGAGAAGGCATCGCGGTCTGGAGCGACAGGCCCTAACAATAGCGTGTGGACGGGAACAATTGCGAAGGGCTTGGTCCTGCGCCGTGGAGTTCTTGTCGACTCTTGGAAATTGTGAGCAAAAAAAAAGAAGTGTAAGGAAGACTGCAAATGCTATTCTAGGTGAAAGCCGCCTTTTCCTGCACTGGGGTAAACGATCCTTTCTTGGCTAATTTTTCCTCCTGTAAAGCCTAATTTTTTCTCTTGTAAAAACCTAACGATGTTTTGTATTGTACCAACTCTAGCTAGTGTCTCCCATTCGTTTGGCCTTCACCTGCTTGATGCTCCTGTCCTCATCTAGCAGATCGCGTCCCTCTGCCCCGCCCCCACTTCTCTCTCCCTCAGCGACTGAGCCACTCCCGCCCTCTGAACCTGAACTGTCGCTGTCTCTCTCCTTCCTCAAAAAAATCTTCCTGTTCAGTACTGTAAGTTTAGAAGAGGGGTGGATTCTGTTGCTGCTCTTGAATTACTTCTATGATCCAAATTATACTAAGAGGGGTAGCATAAAATACCCTTTCTTTGTATCCTATGCAATTCTTAACAGTGTGAAAGTAAACTAAAACCACCCAAAGTTTATATTTTAGTTTACTATTTTTCAATCTCAGCAGTTTTTAAAGATTGCTTAAGCTTCCAAAATTCCCCTGTCGGCACAGAGAAATGCTGCTTCAGAGCATTGTAGTTTGAATTTAAACAGAAAAGGGTTGCTTTGCTTTGGCTTCTTGCTGTCTTACAATAACTACATTTATTATGCAAACACAATGTGTAGCTATGGTTGCTTTCTTTTTATTTCTGCCACTCTGGCATATGCTGTTGGCATAGTCTCTAATCTATAGAGTAGTGAATGGTATTATTCTGTTAAATGAAAAAAATCATCAAAGTTTAAAGCAAAAGAAGTGCGTAATTACATTTTTCATTGCCATAAACTGCATAAACATGTTTGCCAAGAGGCACCAGCTCCTACATAAAATCTAATTTATGTTATAATATTGTATTTTTAAAAATATTTGCCTTCAGTTAAAAACAGTTGTTTTGTTTTCTTACAGCAATAGTCAACAATGTTGCAAAGAATGGCTGGGTAGAAATCTTATAAGTACAAATCAATCTTATTTATATACTTTAAGCTATAGTCCTAGCTTTAAAACTATTTTAGCAACTTTGAAGTTATAACAACACTGAAAAAAGTAACTTATGACAGGTAATTATGAATATTGCAGCATAACCAGAATTTGGACACTTGGCAACCAATATGTACTTATGACAATTGCAGCAAACTGGGGTCCTGGGATTATCATTTGTGATCTTCCCCAGATGGTTTCTGATAAGCAAAATCAATGGGACAAGCAGGATTTGCTTAATGACCAGGTGATTCACTTAACAACTACAGTGATTCACTTAATAATTGTGCAAAAAAGTTTGTGAAATTGAATTGTTAACAACTGCCTTGCTTAGCAACAGAAATATTAGTCCCAACTGAGGTAATAAGTCAAAACTATCTAAATGGATATTTTTCCTTACATTATTTGTATCTCTCATATTTTGATTTCGTTTCTCCAGATTTTTGTTGAATATCTCCCATCCTTAGGATGTTTGCAAAAGCAACCAAGACTTTTGTGAAAGAGGTTGACTGTGGAGGAGACTTAATATCTGTGTCATCCCTGAATATCTTAGATAAAGTAGAGTTCCTGAATTTAGTCACAAAGAAAAAGAAAACTTGGTGCTGGCAAAATCCAAAGTATCATCTCTCATCAGTGTCATTGAATGATCTGCTTGCCCAAGATATGCATGGACCTATAAAGCCAGGTAGAGTCACAGTTTATACACTGTTATAGGAGATAAGAAGTGCAAAGTTCTGTGCATTATTGTACAAATCATCTGCTTTATTACTGTTGAACTTTGAAATAGTTATCATTTTTTTCAAAAAGTTTACAGCAATGATACAGCAATATTATTTTACATGTCATTTTGTTTTTTGGGCGATTTTTGTGGAATTTTGTTTTTGTTTTTGGAAGCTTTTCTAGCAGTTTTTAAAATCCATTTTCAATCAAATAGTTCAGATTGATCTATTAGATAATAATTTAAATTGTGAAACTCTACAGTATCATTGAAAATAATGCAATTTAAAAGTTACATCATTTTATGGGATATGTGCTATTAAATGACTTGCTTGCAGTACATAATAGGATCAGTTACAGAAAAATAAGTGCTAAAGTCTGATCATTCAGTGGATGCCTCTATGTACTCAGGAAGCATTTTGATCATTCTGAATAGCAGTAATTAGTGATAACATTTTTCTAACATTGCTAAATTAATACCTGTGACAATTTAGGAAATCATTGCTTTTAATCAGATGGAAATAGATGATCTCAGATTTAAATTAAATTCAGGAATAATATCCTGAAAAGCCATTTAGTAGTTTAGTTTAAAAAACTGCTATAATTAATACAATCAAAAACAAATAATTTTTCTTAAAGAAAATTACTTTTACTTGCTATTTCAGGATAGCAAATTTGTGGATTGCAATTCAAGATCATTGAGGAACTTCATTATATTTTGTTTTTAAAGATATCAAAGATTTTTTGCTTTAAATTGATACCTTATTCTTTTACTGAAGTGGAATTGACACTCCATCTTGCTCTGACTACTGTTAACAACATTATATTGATTGAGTTCTCGTGCCCTGCTAAATCACAACCTAATTTTTTTTAGTTTTGTTCTGTCTCTCTGAGAACTCAGTCTTATGGTTTGCGAACTATGTTTTTTAAATTGCGGGAATGTATAAAATATTGAATTTTTATTTTTCTCCTATAATAGCTATTTCATGAATACAGGTCATCCTTAACTTACAACTGTTCTTTTAGTGACCGTTTGAAGTTACAGTGGCACTGAAAAAGTAAAAAAGTTGCAGAATCCCCATGATCATGTAATCAAAATTTGGATGCTTGGCAACTGGTTCATATTTAAGACAATTGCAGTGTTCTGAGGTCATGTCATCTTCTTTTGTGACCTTCTGTCAAGCATAGTCAATGAGGAATCCTGATTCACTTAACAGACATGTTACTAACAGCTGCAGTGATTCACTTAATACATATGATTCGCTGGAAGTGAGGGGATTTTTTAAAAAGTATTTTATTTTAGTTATACTTTGTTTTTATTGTTTTTAAGCTGCCTAGAGTTGCTGTGAGCAAGTAGGTAACTATATACATTTTTGAAATAAATAAACTCTAGCAAGAAAGGTTATAAAATGGGCTAAAATTCACTTAGCAACTATCCTGTTTAACAACAGAATTTTGATTTCAATTGTGATCATAAGTCAAGGACTATCTATAGTCTACAAATCATTTCCCATTCCCATTCTAGAAAATGGTGGATCATTTCTGCAATCATTAGATATATTCCAGGAAAAAACCTCAGAACACCAGAATCTTTTAAAAATTTTCTATATACTTGTCTTTCTGCTCTGGTAAACAAACAATGCAGCTAATAAAATTTAAAAATAAAAAAAGGACATGGAAAGTTAAAATATGTGCATATATGCACCATTAATTTGCCAGTAAGCATGGCTTAGTGTTAACGCCTTTGACATGATGCTTCGAGACATGAATATATGGTATATGTCCTTGAGTAGCCACCAGTTTCTCTGCCCTGACTGACTTTTTATAGTAAAAACATAGGAAATTGGAATTACACCAAACAAATGTCACTCATTAGCATCATCTTAGTTTCCCTATTTTGTTGTTGTTGTTTAAAGTTGTAGAATAAAATGAATATGAAAGTGACTTCTTAGAATTAAGAATTAACTTGATAGTATAGAATTACATATTACCCCAACCCAAATGTTAGATCCTAAGAAATTTAGAAATGTCTGTTCTATGCCAGTCTTTCAAATATATGATTTGTCCCATTTCTTTTTAAAATTTTCATTGGCTAAAAGTTATTATTTCAGTGTGCTTTTGGGCGTGGTGGACTTTAATATCCAGCAAAATTTGTATCTAGCTGTTTTATTTCCTGTATCCTTAGTTTCGTGCTTCATTCACTGTATTGTCCAGAGTCCATCAGAACTAGGGGTGGACTATGGGGTGTTATAAATAGATAGATTGAATAGGTATAAATAGGCAGACAGGCAAAGCATGGCAACACTTTGATTTTGTGACTATTTTGTTTTCACAGTGGATAGAGAAATACATTCTGGTGGAATTCAAAGAACTGTTACTTAGAATGACTGCTGTTTTTCTTCAAATGTCACATATGCATGCATGCATTTCTAAGACCCAAAATCCTTTCAAATTAGTGAAGTATACAGATCCATATATTCTAAGGATGGGGAACTTGTGACACCCAAGCAGCATGGGTAAACTGCCAGTAGATTCTACAAACAAGATCCCTGGTTCAAAGAAGCGGCATTTATTTTAATATCATGTGAAGGACCATGGATTCTCCATCTTTCCTTTTTTTCATTGGATTATAAACATTTTTAAATACAGGGAGCAGTGAAAAACAGTGACTAAGTCAGTGACTAAATCAGTGTTTGATTTTTTTAAAAAATAATTTATGTTGAGCTCCAGTTGTAATTTGGATATGTTGCTTTTTTCCTAGTTATTGTAGAATCTGACTTTGTGAAGTATGAAAGCAAGTTTGAAGACTGCATCAGAGGAAGCATTGATACTTCAGTAGGAAGAATTAATTTAGGAAGCGGAGGAAGCAATCTTGTGGAAAGTCTGTCTTCTTTTGGAAATCTTAAAAAGCAAGAAGTTGACTTGCACAAACTTATGAAAGATGTGAAGGAAAGGTACATATTTATTTTGTTCATTTATGATATCTATAAATAGTTTTATTATACAAAGTTTTAAAGGGAAATGTTCAGCTTTAAAAAATGGCATCTTTGTGAGGTTTAAAAAGAATTGTTTTGAAAAGTTTTACAGATACTTGGAATTGAATAAATAAGAAAGCAGTAAAAAGTGGTGATGATGAAAATTGTGGTTTCTGGAATTAATATAAGTTTACTGGAAAGTTTAGAAATGCTGTTGATGACCAGATTTAGTTTGCATTACTGCTAAGGTAGTTGGATAAAGTCATGTTCATAATTATTCTCAATTACTAATCTTATTTTGCCTCAGTCATTCAGTTTCAGCCCAAGCTACCTCATAGGGTTGTGTTGTAGGATAATTAGAATGTTCTCATGTATGCACATTGGCCTCTCAAGAATGAATATAAATGCAATGATACTCAAATCTGTTTTGAAATAGATATGTCGGGGAGAATATGGAGCATTTGAATATGAACATTTGGGAAGATACTGAAAAATCTGGTGTTAGTTTGTAATTGAATCATAAATTCAATACTATCACTGTGACAGTATATTTTTTATATAGGAAACTTGTATCCAAATGCAGTGATACAACACAGTTTTATATATTTCTGATTGGCATACTAGCTCTTTGCTACTAAAGAGTGAATCTTTAAGTTGACTAAAGAGTCAACTTGTTATAGGAAAACAATATTGTCCAGCTATTTAAAAAAGGGTTTTTTTTTCATAGTAATTTTAATATATTTTTTCTCCTTTAGATCAATAAATCTACAGACTTCATTATTGGAACAAATGCTTGAAAGAAAGAATGATGTTCTTTGTATCCTTACAGAAAAAATATTGACAACTCAGAAATGTTTAATATCTGAACATATTCAAAAAGAGGAAAAAATTGCTGGAATGGTGGGAATAAATGCAAAAATTATAAAGGTATTAATGCATAAGTAAGAATAGTGATGGAATGCTCTATTGCATTTTTCCATATTATCCCCCAGCAAGATGTATATAGCCTTTGTGCTCTTTGAATTCTGCTTCTGAAAAGGTTGAAATTTCATCCCTGTCTACTCCAGTCTTGCATTGCTGACCACATCCCTGTGGCTTTTGAAGCCTGTTTTTTTTTTTTTTAAGAAAACAAGTGCATTTATTTGTCCCCAGGCACAAATAAACTTGTTTGCATTAAGTTGAAATATTAATGTTTCTGTTCAAAAATGAATGTGCTATGCAGTTTGAAAACTGTTTGCTGTTAAATCTATTTACTATTAAATGTTAGAATGAATAAAAAATATGTACAATTTTTATAAGGTGAGAATATTCAGATCAAAGAGTTAACCCTTAATACATCCTCACTACAGTTTTGAACTTAAATGAAAGTGCTGGATGAAACTAAAGATAATTGAATCCTTTGCTCTAATTCTGTTAGCAGGAGAGAAGCTCACAAGAAGTTAATTATAGAGATGCTCACCCCAGCTGATGTATTTTCTCTGAGGATAGAAGATTCATTTGTGTTAAGGAGAATTCCTTGTAGTGGACCTGTCTTCTGTGAATTAAAAACCTACCTTAAGGCAAACTTAAGAAAACACATTTGAGAGCTGTTTAGTTTTAAAACAATTTCTAAAATATTTAGTTATATAGAGCTTGGCACTCTCTGAGCTTGATGGTTTGCTTGCTGATGTTTCCTAATCAATTATGTAACATTATCAGTACCTACATCTACATCTGCAAGCAAACCAAGCTAAGAGAACACAAAGGACTCCAATATCAAGATACATATACAGTATTATTTATTTATGCACAATTTTCTGTTTAACTCTGTCTAACAAGTAAGTCTTGATGCCATACCTCTCTCCACACACCTTGTCACTGTCCGTCCCCCACCACACTGCCACCTATTTTATCCTTTCAGCCATCCTATTAAGGATTTGGGCTGAGAGATGTTAGCTTAAATTTATCAGCTCTGGGCATTTTCTGTTTAATTCTTTGACTTTAACTCACTTAAAAATAATTGACGTCATTTTTAAATTCTACAAAATGACTTCTTGTCATCCTTTCATGTGTAAATTATGCATTTTGGAATTAATTTGCACAAATTAACCAACAATTAAATCTCTCTCTAGGTATCAGTGAATGAAAATGGAAATATAATGAAGAACTCTAATGTAGTATTGGAGATCCCTGCTCCAACTGCAATTGCTTATGGTATAATAGAATTGTATGTAAAGCGTGACGGTCAATTTGGTAAGTAATGTGGCCATTCTCACCTTCTGTTTCCTCAGGGCAGCATAAAAAGAGCATTCTTTTTATTAGACAGATCATCAGCAGAGATTCTTGTCCCAACGTTGTATTTTGAATTCAGTTTTATACATACCATATATCAGTACATAATTGGTGCTCATTTAAAGGGAAGGCTTACAGATGTTTTGAATTAATATTACAGTTAGAAACTGAGTACAATACATGAGAAGATGTAGGTGCAGGTTAAACCGAGGTGTTTTATTCAGTTGCAAATTACAGATTCTACTATAGATGGAAAAAGAGAAGGCTTGTTTATGTGATCAACTTCTCCTAACAATGGAACTTAAGGATTTTGACAATAGTATATACTGTTATTTGTTTGTCTGTCTGTCTTTCTGTCTATCTATTTATCATCTACCTATCATCTATCATATAGCATACAATGTCAGGGAAATCTACACGTGCTAGATACACAAGGCATGTCCTGACAATCTAGATTGCTAGTTCATTCTATTTGATGCTTACTTGTCTATCCTTAGTGCACTGCGGGGGGAGGTGTGTGAACTAACTTATACCAGTTGACTAGCAGCACTTGGGTTGCTGGCTCTTCTGGGGTCTTCTGCCAGTCTTTCCTCACCTCTTGTCACAATGCATTGCACCTGATCAGCTCCAGTGCTGGCTTCCACTCTGTGCACACACAAACACACCTAGGTTTTTCTCACCGGAGTGGTGCCCATATATGTAATTGCAATATTGCATGCTTTCAAACTGCTGGATGGATACCATCTAGGGATCTAGTGATGGGAGCTCACTCCATGTCACAGAGCCAGGCTCAAACCACCAAAATGCAGACCATTTCTGGCTGGTAGTTCCAGCATTATTAAGGCAGTGCGCCACTGCATCCTCTTTTAGTATATACTCTTATCATAGCATATGAAATGTCCAAAATATGTATATCACATGATAGTACTGAGAATAGGCAATACTGTTAAAAAAATTAAGTGAAGGCATACATATTAAAGTGCCCAAAGTTATGCCCGCACCATATTTGAAGGTAAGGATGATTGCACATTATTTTTTTTTCCTCCTTTACAGTGCTATTTCTTTTTTAATTTCTGTTTGCTGGATTTTAATATTGGGCCATCTTATCTTTGAAACCTTACAAATCAACATCTCTGCTCTGCAGGACCAACCCTACCTTAGGCGGAATAAGACAGGCATTTCAGGTTAAGGAGGAGTTTATGAATAATATCTCTGGACTATCAGCAATTGTTCACAAGACCCTCGGCCATTCTTTTACTTGTAGAATAAATTTCTGTGTGTCTCGTAGTTTTGCATTTCTTAAACTAGTCTGCAGCTTCCAGGTGGAATCAAGGACACTCTTTTTTCCAATGGAATGAGGCTGCTTTTTATCTTTTGGGACATACAGCAAATACCTTGAAAATACTTGCTATGGTTTCTACTGCATGAAATGATACACTGTTCTATTCTGTATTGGAAGGATGTTTTCATCAGTGGAGATTTTAGATATTCTCATCCATTTCTTCAGTGAACATCCAAATAATTGTACCTAAAATAGCTGGCTTACAATGTGCTAAGAGTTCTATTGAGATTCAGTAAAGTTAGGAGACAGCATTTTTTCCAAATTAATTTTTATATAACTGGAATAAAAACTAACACAAACTAAAAATAAGAATAAAAAAAGAAAAAAGTATAAAAAGTAGCTTCTCCTTTCATTGCAACAATTCTTGCAATGTATTATATCTCCTAGGGTACATACAACCAATTGGGTGTAACTAATGATTACAGCCAGCCCAAATTCAAGACCCAAGTGACAAATTACAGGGTGAGCTACCATTTTACTCACCCCAGCTCTTGCCAACCTAAGCAGTTCAAAAACATGCAAATGTGAGTAGATAAATAGTACTGCTTCGGTGGTAAAGGTTATTGCATTCCATATTTTCATACTGGCCATATGATGACAGAAGCATCTCAGACAACCCAGCTCTCCCTTTGCTGAGAATCTGATATAAGTACTACTCCTTGTGTCAGTTATGACAGGGGAAACCTTTAAATCCTTTAGAGTACAACATATACTTTCTTCATATCTCTTAAGTAAAAATAAAATCCAAAAGTCTCATCATTCCTTATCAGCAAAAAATCCGGTTACCATATCTCTAGTGTTCTCTGAGTTTGCTTGTTTTCTTGCAAATGTTTCATTACCCTAACTTACCTATTTAGGGTAATGAAACATTTGCAAGAAAACAAGCAAGCTCAGAGAGCATCAAGGACTGCTCGTTTCAACCTTGAGCTACAAATATTTTTTATTGGTATCCTATCTCTCTTTTGATTTATTAGTTGTGCATTTCTTTTAAGTAATGAAACATCAACTAGTTTTGTTTGTATATTCAATAACTACTTTTCAGCATTCTTCTCATGGCTTATCACAATTATATCCACACTCAAATTAAGGTCAAACTTATCTAAATAGCTTGGGTTTTTTTGTAACTTCCTTGATACTGCACTTATCTATCATATTAGAAAATTTTGAAGACCATTAAAAAAACCCACTTAAAAACTCACTGTTAAGAGTGTTGTGCTTCATTCTTTGTTTAATTATATAAGTTACTATACTGTAATAAGATTTTTTTTCTTATTCAGTTGTTGATTTTCTAGCTGGATGTCATGGAAGATCCTAATCTGATAACACCTTATGGGCCCCATTCCCCTACCAATCCTTTTAGTCTTCTCCCCCACCTTACCCTGTGCTGCTACTGCTCCTATTGGTTGTCTTTTGGGCCCTCCAAATGTAGGACAGAACTCCCTCAGTCCCACATCCAACTCCACAACTGTTTTATACCATTCCCCCAGTTTCTGGGGAATCCCCCTATAAAGACAAGCCTGCCTCAATCCTCTAGCTAAACCAGATCTAAATTCTCTAATCAATAATCTTTCTGGCCAGGTGTACAACCTGGTTGCCAGTTTCCGAAACTCTCTGACATACTCCACAGCAGGCCTCCCATCCTACTTCAGTGGCATTAATGCTTCTTCATATTGATTTATCCTTGACCTATCTTCAAATTGAACTTTGAGTGCATCCAAAAACAAACCAACATCAATCAATTCCTTTGCATGCACACTATGCAATTCTGCAGCTCAATCGGCAGCATCACCTGTTAACACTGTAGTTATCGCAACTATAATAGACCATTGAGAAGGATAGCAATTTGAATATAATTCTAGGTGGTTCACAATTTGGCTTAAAAATAATACTAACCTATCAGGGTTCCCATCAAAGGAAGTGTTTATAGGAGGAGGACCACCCCAAACCATTCTTTGGGGCCAATATCCAGACGTGCCTGATGGACCCCAGGAGTGAATTGTTTGTCTATTCCCCATCTGCGCATCCCTAAATTCAACCCTGGAACCTGGGACTGGTTTAGAGGTTTTACTCCAAGTTCCTGATACTCCTACTACATCTTCTAATGATTCATCTACTTCCATAGAAAATGTTCCCTCTGACCTCCTCCTACTCATATCCCTGCTATCTCTGGCACTTGAACTAAAGAAAGATGTGTCTTCCGTTCTAAATCTCCTCCCTGGACTGTCCCAAACGGTCTGGGGAGTAGAGTCACGAATGCTTAAGTCACCATACTTGACATGGAGCAGTTCCAACGTACTAGCATTTAAACTGGTTGTAGAAGTACTACACTCATCTTCATCAGCAATCCGTCGTTCCCTCCACTTCTCAAACGTCCCGGAGGGCAGTGGCATAAAAGGGGGAGGTTTCCCTTGTGAAACCTTCCCCCTCATATCGTCCCTCAACTCTGATCCCGATTTCCGTTCCTTCCGGTTTTTCAGCCGTACCACAGGCTGATGATCCTCTTCACATCTCGCGTTATCTGTTTGTCCACTTTCCAAAGACACCACATTATCGTCCAACTGAATTGAGGGCTGCTCAGGCACCACGCCAGCCCCTCCAACAGCATTATCTGCATCCACCTCCGAAACGTCCTTAAAACCTCCATCAACAGCAGTACCTTCAGCCATAATATCACAGGTAACGAAATATTATAGGATGTATGAGATCCAACTTTCCTCTCAGTTACTCTTCGGCACAAATGCAGGGAGAAAATAAGACACTCCAGACATGATATTATTCCGATTAAAATCGGAATTCCGATTTTTTGGGGAATCGCCCAGGCAGAGCCAGCGGCGGGCGGTGCCAGCTGAGCCCAGGCGGGCAGCGGGTGTCGCGAGCTGAGCCCGGGCGGGCGGCGGGCGTCGCCAGCTGAGCCCGGGCGGGTGGCGCGAGCGGCGGGCGGTGGGGGGTCTCTTTTGGCCGGCCTCGATTTTTTTTTCAGAGGGGAATATCATGCCTGACACTCTTCACTTCAGTATTTGGTAACACAAAAGCTTATTGTTTATTCCTTCCTCTGCAAGGAGTCCGAGATAATAGCTAAGCAAACAAAATAAAGTTGGATCTAACCCGAGTTTCCTGGGATTCAATATTTATAATAATTTCCGTTCATTACCCCGATTACCCTTATTACCAATGATTACCATTATTAATGATAATTATTCGTATGAACTAAATCACATGAATCGTGGTTAATGCGTAGAGCTTCACCTCACAGCACATATTATTATGATACAGAGTTTATTCTGATGAAGAGGAATGCCATCCTTCAGGTCACTGTGGCTTCGATTCAAATGCGTGTATTGCGTAGTCACGACAACTAATTTCCCAAATGTATGGTGGACTTTTCCTTATTGTAAACTCTAGACTACCAGTGAAAACAGCCTGGTGCTAATCACAGAGACTTCCTTATTTTTCTTATTAAATATGTGATTTCTGATTTATTATGCCCATCTGGATAAACATTTTATGAATGGGCAAGATTCTAATACAAAATTGTTTAATACTAATCAGAACACTAAGACATAGTTTATTTGCTTTTCTTCATGTTATGGGAATGGAATGGGAGCTGTAAATCAAATGTTACCAGAAAATAAGACAGTCAAACTATTCCTATTGTAGAACTGTGCCTCCTTCATGACCAACAAGGTGGTTTTGAAAGGGGGGCTATAGAAGGCCCAGTTTACCATTCTTCGGCCTTCAAAGATGCTTGCTGCCCTCATCTTTTTGATGTTGTGGATAATGAGAAATTGTCTGGACCTGAAAGCCCTATTCCAAGTGATGCTTCACTTAACATTCTAAGCAAAGGTAGGACTGGAAGATCATTCACATTTCGTGTTCATTATGCTAACTTAAAGTAAAATTATTTTCAGCTTAATGTGTGGATTTGAGAATCCTAGAAACATGGTTCTAGAATTGGGTGCATGTGTATAAAAACAATTCTTGATATGATTATTGCATCATAAATAGTTGGGGTTAATTCCTCCCAAAATGTACAGTAGTTGTAAACACTTAAGAGTTACAATATTTACAAGTCATGGAAATTTTCTACTTTTTAAACAACATTCTGAGTTTCCTCTCCTTACTTCCCATGCTATCTTTATTATCCCCCTTTCCATGAATTTACATCTCTTTAAGTGCTTGAACTGATGGATAGTAAAAATACCAATAGTCTAACTTTCAATTGCTGATTTTCATACTTGCTGTCAATGCCATATTATTATTTTATCTCCCTTTTAAAATTTAATTTTAAAACAAATTATGTGTGGAATTAACTATATAGACCATAAAAAACTAACACAGTAATATATTGATAATATATACTTATGATAATATATTTACCTATGAATGAACATTGTTCTGCAGAACCAAAGAAAGCTAATTTTATATGTAACAATAGTGGCAAAGGAAGGAAGAAAGATTGTTCATTTGGATGAATAGGAAAAAGTAGTAATTCCTACCATGTTAGAAAACTAATTTGTTCAGTTGAAGGGCTCAGGCCAAGTCAAACTTCCTAGCCTATATCTCTGTCTGTCTATCTGTCTGTCTATCTACCTAGTTTAATAATAATGTTTGCATAATAATGTTTGCAACTGCAGTTTTGGATGTGCAGTTTTTTAATTAATTGCTTTAGGACAGACAAGTAGCGCTTAACTTATAATTGGGATCACAAACTTGTTCATTGAGTGAAGTGGCCATTAAGTGAGATGTCACATGACATGTCAACAACCCCCACTCAGCACAATCCCATACTCCTTATTATAATTATTAAGTGGATGTAATCCAAGGCTAGGGAGTGCAGGCATGCCTCAGGAGGGTGGGGAAGATAATAATGAAACTGTATCATACACTAAACTATAGTCTGTTAACAATGATTTACTAACTAAACCAATATTGATTGGGTTTGTGTCATATGTTGGTCAAAGAAGCCATTTTACATCTTTGCATGAAGCAGGAATTTAGCATGTGGCAACATTCAAACTATTACAAAATTGTATTTCTTTTGAATTCTGATTTTCTCTGTTAATACTATGTATACATAAGTTTCCTCTTTGATAAAATCATAGGATGGATTTTTGAAATTTGAGTCAGGATCGAAATGGTCAGTTTTGTAAAAAAAAATCCCTCCATAAAAAGGCAAATGCATTACACTTCCAACACACATGCTTACACAAACACAGACACATAGACACACACACACACTTTTAAATGAAATTAATGTATGTTACATTCAGAATTGTTAGGATTAGCTTCTCCAACTTGATTCTACTTAATGATTAAATATGTTTGCATAATACATTTTCAGATGTCCTCCAATTAAAGACCCAGTTCCAACCTTTTATAAATCTATCAGAAGAAAAGCAAAGAGCTTTATACCAAATGATCTGTGACCTTTTGCTTCATGAAGAAACAGTGATGCAACTAGAAAATGTGGTAATTTTTATTTCCCAATCATACATCAATTTTCTTCTTATTTTTTAAAGCTTGTTCTTAATGAAGAAAGGAATCTAGTTTTGATCGCTCCAATAACCTGTATGTTTTTAATTATATATTTATAATTATTTTAATGATTGTTACCATCAAATCAGTGTTATTTTGGTGATTAATATATGGATAGTTTCTAGGATGATCTATCTTTAATCTGATCCAGTATTCCTATTCGTGTTAGACCTGAATGTACCCATCTTACTGTTAAGTCATTCTGTTTTTTTCTTTTCCCCACACTTCCTAGCATGATAGAGTTAATGTTTAAAAGAGTTAAGTTTTCACATTATATGAAATCAGTGGAATTTTTATTGGTCTTGACTGATTTGAGATCATAATTTTCTGGATCACAGCAAGTAGCCTCACCATGGATCTCAGAACAAGATAAGCAGAGTTGCTTAACATTGCTTCACATTTGGATAGGAAACTCAATAATTTCCAAGGCTTCGAGGTACATTGAGAAAGGTTTTTTTTTAATGCAGTGGAAAACCATTTCCATATTGTTGTGAAAGAAATATAATAGATGTGTCGAGGCAATTGGAAGTCAAACTTGGTCTGATTAATTTTATTCTGAGTATAATTAAATCTGACCACTGTGTCTGTTCCCTTTTTGCAGCTGGTCAGTTTATGTTCTGAGAGGAGTCCAGGCATCATATCAATGGAGGAATTAAAGTTACCAGAGATACCATGTTTAGAAGAATTTCTACAGCTTGTGGGTGTACATTTACAGAGCAAATGTCAGATTTACAATAAAGAGCTTTTCCTAGCTGCTCATTTCCTTCTCAGTGCTCTAGCAGGTACAAAAGAATAAATAAACGAGTGGTTCTCTTCTAAAATTGATTTTTATTCAGAGCTATCTTGAAGGGTTGACATCCAAGCACCATGAATTTAGTTCTGCATTTACAAAATGTTTTCTCTCTATTCACATGATACAACAAATTTGAAACAGCAACCTAATTAGAAAACACATTCCACAGCAAGGCCAGAATTATATTTTATTAGGATAAGTTATAATAACGAACTCTTGTAAGTTTTCTCCCCTTCCTCCTTTGCCTCTTGTTATTTAGGGAGGAGTCATTCTGAGTGTTTTTCTGATATTTCCACAGACTTAAGGAATGCTTCTGTCCTCTTCACAGAATTTACATAATGGTTTCCAAAAATTTGCTTCAAGGCCATCTCGCTAGCTTTCTACATAGGAATTTTGTTAACCTCAACTGCCTTTGAATGATGGCTTTCTCATTTGGATTCATATAGTGAATATTATTCGCCTTGTGTGCCAAGTTTATTTATTGCTACTAAGAAAAAACAAGAAAGGTTCAAGCTTTTATATCAGTGGTATAAATTACAGTGCTTCAGAGTCTGTCTTAAAAGTAATAATTTAGAAAGAAATTGTACTAAACAGGAAAAGAATGCTGACTAGAATTGCCTATTTATTAATTAAATAATATTTTAATGATCTCAGGTGATCAAGTCTTAGATCATTAATTGCCATTTGAAACTCAGTGTCTCTAAACAAAAAGGCTATTAAACAAAATTAACCTTTTTTTACATTTTATATTACGTTTCCTAGATATCTTTGTGACTCACCCTAGTTTTACAGATGCTTAGTATTTAATTTCTGTCTTTTGGTATCCTACTAAGATCGTATTTATCATTTCTTCACTCTCTGTTCAGATCACTGGCTCCTGACTCAGTGATAAAGTAAAGACTGTATGCTTGCATCTTTTGTCTAGAGTCTTAGAACTAACCCTTGTCAAAGAACTTAAGTCCCACCATTATAGAAACCCTCACTTTTTCCAAGAATAACATTTATATATTTATAAAAATTCTGTTATTGTATTTGTCACCTATATAAGATTTAACACCACAGACTTAATATTGCAACGATTTATTTTAAATCCTTGTTAGAGCCCCAGTTTAATATCACTGTCCATGAATCATTGCTCTAATCAGTCTTTGATGTCATGGAGGTTGTTTTGGGGAAAATTCTCAGTGTTGAAGTATTGATCTTCTTGTGGCTGGTTACATTGGACCCATTAAATTCTTTGATATTAAACTTCATTTTTTATAGTCTCAGATTATTTTTGTTGCTAAACTAAATAGGGATTTTTATTTAACATTTTCCTCTTTGATATGATCGATTACATTGTTGTCTTGATCCTATCATGCGTTAAGTTTCTGTCACTGTTTCTTTTGCCTACCTATCTTATTGCTCATCCAGTGGGTGCTCCTACAGAATCATTGGGTATTGGGGGAGAAAAATTATTTCTCTAATTTTTCCTTAAAGATATCTGAAGGTCCTTTTTTGATCCTCTGTTAGACTCTTACCTTTTCTTGGAGTCTTCATCATTTACTTGTTTTTCACTAGTGTCCTACCAGTTCTACTCATATCTCCAGCAAGCCTTTCACTTCATCTAAAAAGTTTGTAGGATGTTGAGCTTGAACGCCTTCTCTAATTCAATATATCCAGGCTCTTCTTCATACCATAAACACTCTGCACAGGTAGTTTTAACTTATGGCTGGTTTGTTTGTTTAAAGTTTGAGGAACTTACCTGAGGGATAGTTAAAATCCAGATTCAAAATTCTTACAGTTGACACAGCAGTTGTGTGACTGCAGTTCAGGTATCAATGACCAACTGATATTGATGGTTTTTAGCAGCATTCTGCATTCACTTGATCATGTTTTATTACTGTAATGTTGAAAATTGATATTTATTCTCAGTTTTCAGCAAAGTTAGCTGAACCACAGGTTTGCTTGACAACGGTGGCATTTTCTTATAAACTATCACAAACTAATAAAATTAGGTCAGTCACACTTTCCTGCTTTTTAGCCATCATGAGTTATGTCTTTATGGTCATAACTCAAGAACTACCTTTATTCTTTATCAGTGATGCTATCCATCTACCTAATAAAGATGTGAAAACTTTTTTTTTGAGATACAATTTTTATTTTTACTATTCTGTTCATATATTTTTAGTATATGCTGAAGTTGTCTTAGTCTTTTCATTTCTAATTGAATCATATCTTACGATGTGCTTGGAGATGCAAGTTTGAAGTAGCCAGACTTCACTTCTCAAAGCTTTTAAATGCAAGAATGTCTGAACAATAGTAATTTAAAGTAATTCAATTTTGAGGTACATCAGACTACAGGAATGTTCTTTTCAGCATGGCAATATAGATTCTCAAGACATTCTCTTTTAGGAACAACATAAATTGTTATGTTTTGGCAGATTTTAGATTCTATGTAGACTTGGAGAACATACTGCCTTACTTTCTTGAGTTTATTCAGTAAGGTTTCAGAGGCCCATGACTCAGTGTTCAGAAGGAATGATTCTTTTATATTTTAAAAAGTTTTTGTTTGCCTTTTATTTTCTTTCTTCAGAACTGTCAAGTTATTCCTTAATGCTGCTGCTAGCCTGCTGTGACCTCCAGCTTGTCCCTACCCTATGTTTCTTGGTAAGTCATATCAATTTAAGTTGGAAATGTGTTAACAATAGCATAAGTTCTAGCAGCTGGTTCTTAATGGTACTTATTCATTGCAACATCTCTTACAGCCTTTATGGAATATATCTTCCATTCAGCTTAAGGAATTAGCTACCACTAAATGGAAATTGTATCATATTTTTCAGACTATAAAACGCACCTAGCTTTTGGGGAGGAAAACAAGAAAAAAAATTCTGCCTCTGTGATGACTCAGGGCATGGCACAAAGGCAACACAGCCAGATAATAAGTAGGAATCCCTTTATTAGCTCCAAACTTTGCCCCCAAAGACCTGGTTACTTTCTGGTCTAGAGAAAAACTCCCAGGAACAGCCTTTGGCTGCAGAAATTCAAGTCCAAAACATTGTCAACAGAAAACTTTAACTATAAGTCCAATCAAGGCAAGATAAGGTAATTAATCCGGCAAGGCAAGATAAGTTCCAGAAGGGAAATAGCACAGCAGTAAATCAACCCTGTTGGGTGGATGCCAGAAACGCAGATAACTGTAGTCAACACAAGATAAACTTGTTCCCAGCAAATACAGCTCTCAACTGTCTTTCTTTTAAACTCTCTTCCCAGGTGTGCTTAGTAAGGGAAATCAGGTGCTGTCATCAGCAATCTTTTTTAAAGTATTAGAAATTTATTTTAATAAGTATAGCTCAATTTTCATAATTTATTTTAATTCATCATAAATACTCATCAAAATGATTATAAAATAGAAAAAATTCAGTATCCTGCCTATTGCTCAGCACTGCAGAAGTGATAGTTTGATAGAATTACCCTGATTCAAAGTGCTGTGTAATGTTTCAAAGTGCTACACAGATAGAATGGCTTTTCTATTGCTTCTGGGATGCTACAGATAAATAATATTGTGCTGAGATATGAAGTACAATGGTATTATGATGGTCTCTCTGTCAATGACCTAAGTAGCCAATTGGATAACATAATGACCTCTGTGTCTACAAGAGTTCTTTTGGAGATCCAAGCCTAGCATTGTTTTAATCCATTTCTCTCTTTTTTAAATAATGCTGCACAGGATCTTAACTTTGATCTGCCTTATGTTAATGAAGTGCGCTATCCTACCTATCCAACTATGAGGGTAACACAGCTTTTAGTCAAAACTGATACTTAAAATTTATATAATTGTGACAGACTTTGACTTCTCAGTGATGATTAAAGTGATGCCCGGCTCGCTAAAACATTTACTATTTTTAAGAACTGGGTTTATAAATCCTTTTTCTCTATAGCATACTATTCTGTGGCATTGGGTCTCATTGTATGAGATAGCAATTACCATGCAGAAATTCCCAGATCGATCAGAGTGAATTGTAACACTGATAAAGTGGTCCTACTTGGAAGAAACCAAGCTTGTCAACTAATAGTAGCAATGTTCCTGGCACCCCAGAGAACTTGGCAATCAGATGCAGCAAACATTATCACAAAGATAGATCTGTGATCATTTCCCAATGTCATTACCATATCAAGCCTAGATGCTCACAGAAAGCAAGACAAAAAAAAATAAGTACTTGCTTTTTTAGCTGTTTATGAATATTTTAAAAACCCTGGACATTTTTAGTTTTCAATGCTTTACTAGAGATACTAGTTGAGATACCAGGCTTTTTGCTAGACAGTTTGGAGACTGATAAATTGTTCCTTCCTCTATTTCAAAAGCCATTATGATGAAACCCTTAGAGATACCTAGCTGAACCTTGGCAGGATTGTTTTCTAGGAGTTCTACATTCCATTTCCTATCATGCTGCCAAAAATGAATCACTTATAGGCATTTAGATAACCTAGGGGGATTTCCCCATAAATGGAACCACAAAGCAGGTTCATTTGAATCGATTCTCAAATCATGCCTCTTCAGATCTCAAATCTGAACAGAATCAGGATTTGTGCTGATTTGTCCAGCCCTCAAAGATGGAAATGCACACCTATGTAACAATAGATATATATTATGCTGTTCCTTTTCACAATAAATTGGATTGTATGGTGTACTGAAAAAGAACGTGAAATAAAACACCCAATTACATTTAAAGCCTGAGATAAAGGACAAAAAGTTAAATTCATTGGCAGTTGTGAGATCATTAGCAGTACTTTATATTTGCCCAACATCTACCTTGAGAGGTTGCTAGGAATTGTAGTTTATGAAGTGCTTATGAGAAAAGTGTCCGCACAGATGCTGTCACTATTGAAGAGGCTGTTGCACAGCCTTTGGTTGGAATAGCAGATGAATATTTCATTTATATCCAGCATTTCTTCCAATCAACTATCCTTTTGATTTTGACAAAAGCTTTTAGATAATTAGCAAAGTTGCCCAGAGAACTGGGATTTGGATTTGGGCTTCCAATCTAATGTAGCATACTGTAGCATACCATTACATTGCATCGATCCTCTAACTTGTTGCCTTATTAAGAATGTGCTAAAACTACTGTTCCCGAATCTCTGAAGATTAATTTCTGGAAAACTATTAGGCAGCTTCCAGTGGCCAAATTGATGTAATTTTAAATAAAATTTCAGTGTTTTCCAGATGTCCCAATCCCAGATTAGTTATCTTTAAATATAAAACATTTGCCTTATTTAAAAATTGACTATTGTGGAAATGCTTTTAATCAATGCCTTTCTATCTCTGATCAGCCTAATATGACCTCAGAAGATGGTACAGTGACACTTGCAGATCCTGTACTGGCTCCACTTGCTGACCCAGGAAAGTTTCGGATAGCACAGAGGCTATTCGCTTTATCAAACATTAACCTTGAAAGGACGGAATCTTCTATCAAAGCTGTAACCATGAAAAAACCCATTTTTTCCCCAATCGTTCTATATATAGCGTTGAATGGCCTCCATGCATTAGGTTATGAAAAGACAAGAACTGATGAAACTGTTTGAAGAGTTTAATACTACAAGTGTCTCTGTTTAATGCCTCATAGTGATGAACCACTAAAGATGTCCATGCAGTTGGAATATCTGGGCTGTGTTATTGGAGCAAGGCAAATTCTGAAATTAATTATGAAAAAATGCAAAGATAAAAAAAACCATGCAGGGATACTTGGTGAGATGTTTGACACTCCTGTATTATTTTAAAGTTAAGAAAGATTACATGTCCTCACTTTTCAGCCATTTATTCAGCACCCGTTCAAAGTTACAACAATGCAGAAAAAAGTAATTTTATGGCCCGTTTACTGCCACTCACAACCTTCACAGCATCCATCAGCCATATGAATGCCATTACAGTCAGTATGTACTGTCTTGGACCAGACCTGTAGGATTTTTTTTTCTTTCCCTTGTAGAGAGATATGAGAGAGATTTCAACAAAGCAAGCTGTTTGCTGTTCTACGTATCATGATCACGCTGGAAGCAAAGAAGGGTCAGGCAAAGGAGATATTGCCTACATAAATTGCTTGGTTTTTTTTTTCTCTTTCCCCTACCCCCACCTGACTGGAGGGTTTGGAAAGAAAGGGATTTCAAGAGAATGGCTAGTCTAGTCCTAGATTGTGACAGTTGCATTATTTTTATGAAAACAAGACAGCAAGGTCCACTTAGCAATGGCTTCATTTAGCATTAGAGTTGCCAGTGTCAGAGCTGTGAAAAATTTCTTTTAGTTATTTAGTATTAGTTATTGTGCTTCCGTACTAATCTTATTTTCCTTAAAAACTAGAGCAGTGGTCCCCAACCTTTTGCGCACCAGGGACCTGTTCTATGGAGAGAGGTTTTTCTGTGAACCTGAGGGAAGTGGTTTTGCATGCTGCCTGCATCGTTCATCCTGGTTTCTGGCATGCCGTGGCCCCGGTACTGGTCTACAGACCAGGGGTGGGGACCCCTGAATTAGAGTATATTCTAATTGAACACCATTATGTGGCAACAGACAGTTTTCAAAACTGAGAAAAGAGCATCATGAAACAGGAGAATAATTGAAAGGGCCATTTAAGCAATCAAAATTAAAAAATTAAGCAATACAGGAATAAATTTAAAGCATATTCTCAATTGTTGGGCTTGCCTTTGGAGCAGTTATTTAGATTAGAACCAAATATCACAAAGAATGTGGCAAGTTTCCAAGTGTTTCTTTATGATATGGCAGAAAAGCTGGGAACTACAGCATCCATTTTGGGAGTCATATTTTTAACCTTTCTAGTTATAAAGGCATTTTTAATTACCTACTTGATTAATGTGATGTGTACCAAAACTGCAGGCCTCAGAGCTGCCTCTTTTGGACAGATGTTTTTGGAGGGGGGTGGGAATATGTTAAGGAGAAAAATGTAATTTTTAGCTTCTCAGATATTCACAATGGTATATAAAACCCATTCAATTCCATCCAATCCACATCTGTTAGAAAAGCCATAGGGACTCAAACCAATGGAAGTTAACAGATTTTGGATATTATATTCACAGCACTTATTAAATGCTATTATAAGGTATACTTGGAATGATAGTGAGTTTTTCAGTGTTTTAATTAGGCATATATAGTGCAAAAATATGATTTGTTTCATATTGATAAAAAGTTTTTTATGTATTATTCAATATAAAATTATAACATCTATCGCAAGGAAGGCCTACTGTATTGCCTTTTTCCAGTTTCTTTTTCTGATGTCAGCTCTGTGCATTGAGAATGTAATTCATAAGAGTTCACACTATTTTTTTTCAAATATTTTTATTTCATATATACAAAAATAACTTTCTTAGGAGTTTTCAGGATTTCAGTTTTATACATTTCAACAATGATATACAACTTAAATTGGGAAACATTAGTGAAATTTCTTTAAAAGCATTGTTTAACTGAATAGCACACAATTTTCTTATGAAATTTTATAAGTTTTCTTATAATCCTTTTTCAGAACTTTCTAATCCGATTTATGTGACAATTTTCTTCTGATTGACAGCATGGAAAGACATTAAAATTTCCTATCAGTAAACTCCCATTTAAATCTTTTATTGTGTCAATATTGTGTGTCAATATTAGTGTACAAGTTTGAAAAAAGTTACAATTGTTTAATAGAAATATTAAGAGATGAAGCAATAAAAATTATACTGCATAAGCTAAGAGAAGTCATTATTTTGGAACGTATCTAATGATGATTTCTATCATCTAATCTTAAAAACACAAAATAATGCACAAATAATAATTCACAAAAAATGTAGATCTTGATAGAGTACACATTCAAAGTGGTATGCATCCAAGATATATTATTTTAATACAGTTTCCAAATTAAAACATTTTTCTCTAGCTAACATTGCATTTTAAAACATATAACTACCATATATGCACTTGAACATTTAATCAGATCTTACCCTCAATATTGGAAGGGCACAACTAACATCAATTGTTGTGAGACTGGACATGATTCTCAGCTATCGTATTTGATCAGTAGGAAAGTGTTCGATCTTAAAAATAGACAATTCTTTGAAGCAAGACACTTCAAAGAAATTCAGTTCTGTCAAGAAAGCCCACATAAGGCAAGGACGTTCAAAGAAAGAAGATATACAAGCGATCTATACTTTTAAAATACAGGTATTCCTCAATTTACCACAACTGAAAATAGGATTACCATTGTTAGTGATGCTGGATTTTAAGTACATCATCACTAGTCCTTGCCCAGTTTTATGATCTTTTTTTGCAATGGTTGTTAAGTAAACTCATTGTCCATATATGGGTGCTTTTTTCTGGAAGCCAGAAGTAAACAGCAGTTCCCAGCAAAAAATGTAAATTGCTGTCACATGACTTCAGGACACTGCAAATGCATATTTATGGAACAATTGTTGAGTATTCAAAGTGTGATCATGTGACTGTCTGGGGGGTGGTCACCAGAACTTCACATCCAGGTAATAAGTCCTTTTTTGGGGGGGGGGGGGCATTGTAACTTTCAACAGTTGCTAAGAAACTGGTCATAAGTTGAGGACTACCTATACCATGTAATGAAATAGACATGTAAGACGCATTAGGAATCTCATCGTGGTTTTTTCCCCCATAGATATTGCCATTTTAATATTGTAAAGAAAGGATTATCCAATACATACTTCCAGTCATGTTTAACTTTAATTGGAAAACTAATCCAAAGCAATTTACGTCATAAACAAAAATATTTCAATATGACATGATGAAAGCTTTTGAGATAGTTTAAGGGTTGCTTTGTTTCCTCTGAAAGTTTCCAAGATTTGTTATGCCAATTGAACCAAGACAAAACAAAGCAAAATAATAATAATGTGCGGTTGATGTAGACTATTTGATTCTGAGCAAATAAAAAATTACTCAAGAACTAAAATTAAATGAATTTCAAACAAATATTTTAAAAAACTTCTTCCCTTTACATTTTTATTCCAAACGTGCATACTTAACTGTAATCCATTCTATCAGTATCGAATACAGATTTGAATAGGACAGTTTGCATTCCAAATTCTGCATCTTTCTCAAAAACAGCAGATGCTGCTGATTCCACAAATTGCTAAAACAATACCTCATCATTTTTATGAACCCCATGCTTGAGGCCTTATTATTACTGACAGGATTTACCAGATCTTGTGTAGATATCTTAGGAGTTAAATTATTGCTGTTATTTTTGAGTATTTTTTTTCAAAATCTCTTAACCACAAAAAAAACCAAAAAAAAACCCCACCACCTCAAATATTTTGTACATAATTATTTTAAACTTGCTGCTTATCTGTGACACTAATAGGTTCAATAGAGAGTTTTTCCTGAAGCACCAACATAAATTGTCATTTAAAATAGCTGTCTTTAATCTTGCCGGTTTTGCAGACCATCAGGGAGGGGATGATTCCTCAGAAGTGGTGGGTGAGCAAGCAACTCCTCTTGCGCAAGTGGCGGACACATGTGCCTGTCACTCACAAATGGAACTATGCACACATGCTAGCCAGTCCGCTGTGCATACAAATGGCACTGAACACACTCATGTTCTTGCCCTCCTCTTCTGCGGCTCAGTTCTTAATGGGCCATGGCCCGGTAGTGGACTGTGGCCCAAGGGTTGGGGACCCCGATTTTAGAAATTAAAATTAGGTTTGATTTAGGTCTGACTCAGCATGATTCATATATTCTGCATTTTATTATAAATTTAAGATAAATGAAAAGCTTAAATAAACATAACAATTATATGTTCCATGAACTTTATAGTCCCCAATTCAGTATGACCTATTGTAGCTTAGGAAAGTGGTAAAACATTTCTTGTATATTCTGGATTTATTATCCATGGGAATTTGCAATATGTAAGTTCAGATCATTGACAGGAACTCTGCAGTTTCAGACAAAAATACCAAAAACTGAAATTAGGACACTTAAAATGTTCTGCCTCTGATTTACACCTTGCGAATTAATCCATTCTGCACCTCATTTACTAAACTTAAGCATGGTACTGTCTTTGGAAGTATTTTGCCTGTTACATACTTCTCATTGCTGCCATTCAGTGAGAGGATAAATTCATGGGTCTCTGTATTCAAAGTTTTAATTTCTTCATAGCTAGGATTATACCGATGCAGCAAAAACAGTGAATGGTCCATAACTATGTGCAGTGATATGCTGTCTCTAAGCATAGAGATGTATTTTATATCAAATGTAGTAATTCTTATGCAGAGCAGTGAACTAACTATTCCTGTTACATTCAGGGCCTATGGTTTAAATTCCCACACTAATGCCAAGAGTGAATTCTGTGACAGGAGCAGTTCCCCTAAGAAGATACAGGAGTACCAGCATAAAAAGTCTTGCCCAGGCAAAATATAAAATGTTTCTTGACCAATTCCCTACTGTCAACAATTTCTTTAGAAAGCCATTAAGGCAAATACTGATATTCTGCTTTTCTTCTTGCTTTTGACAGCACTGAGCTTCTGAGTGTTAAAACCAAATTCCTTTAATCACTTGCTAAACTTTCCTTGAACTAAGGCCAATTTGAAAAATCTTCTGCTTTCCAATAGGAGTGGATAAATCAATGGCTAGAAACAAGACAGTAGAGTGAATATTCTGCTTGAGAACATTTTATTTTTTTAAGATAGTTCAGGTAGAATCTGAACAAAACTTTAATCAAGGCTACTTAAAATGCAGCCCAAACTCTCATCTAAGCAAAGAGCAGTAGCAACAAACCAATTGGAATGTATCTAATGTAATATTAGAAAACAAAGGAATGAGAAGAGGTTATTTGATTTGAGGATTCAGTAATGTCTTCCAATCTCCTCCATTCAAACATTATATTCAATAAAAGTATAGTCATTTTTACATTTTATCTCACTTCATAACCCTACAATGACATTGAAATTACAGAGTAAAATGTCATTTTGGGTACTGGCAATTTTTTTCCAGACTCAGTTGTACATATTTTTTTAAATACTTAACATCAGCCTATCTACAGAATTAATGCAACCGAAATAAATTTCTCATATTGTTAGAAGCTAATTTCTAAATACTAATAGCAATTAAGACACAGATATGCAATTATTTGCATAACATTTACAAAATATACTTAAGTCTTTAAAAAAATACCACAAAGGGTTTTTTTTTTATACAATATCTTTTTGGTGTCAACATTTCTCTATATAAACTAAAAACTATTGAAACCCTGTTTCCTTGTGCATCTTAAAAGCCAAAATAATTAAAAGCCAAGTTTGGACTGTCTTGGTCTTTTCCAATATTTTTTCATTGTTTGCATCTTGTGTATGATACTTTGGTATTGAAAATAAGCTCTGTAATCCTAGTGTCCAAACTCATATGCAAAATAAATGAAATGGGGAGATAACCACCTCAGGCCCTCTGTATGTTAGCAATGGATGGATCTATTTATAATAGCAGGCATAATATAAAACATGATCATCAGATTATTCCCTCTTAGTAATCATCCATATTTACATCTCCTCAATAGAATATTATCAGAAATGTATTTATGCAATCAGTAAATATGAACCTAAGATAATGAACAAACTAAGGGAAGAGTTATTAGCTAACACTGTAAAACATGAGTGTGAAACAAAAATAAATTCTTTGATAAATAACACTGAATTTTAGCATCTAACAATAATTTTAGTTTCACACTCTATTTGATGAATAAAGCCATGTAACACAAAGGATCAGCTCGAAGCCCCATCACATCACATTTTATAGCACACAAAATCACTCATAAATACTCTAGTATAAACTAAAAACCAGTTGTCATAGAACAATATACAAATACAGAGCGAGGTCATAATAAAAAAAAAAAGCATATTTTGTTCCTCTAAGCTATGAGTTTTCCACAACTAAGAACATACATTCTACATGCTAAGCTCTTCACTAAGACTCTGTAGCATGAGGTTCTTTCAGGCTACTTCACCATTACCTCAAACACAATGAATTTACATTACGAGAATTCTTTGAAAAATACTTACTGAATGGGTTGAAATGTTGGCTTTTTAAAAGGGACTCTTAGAGAAAGTTCAAGATATTGCTTTTACATTTATGTAAAAAGGGAATCTACTAAAAGTCTACAGTACATCTGTCTAAGACAAAACAGCTGTAAAACATGGATAAACATTAAGCAAATATGCTTCAATAACATGGCTCAGTGCTGGTTGCTTTATTAAAAATTCTGCTTATGTTAAGGAGATATGCTAATTAGGACAAGGATTATAACTAAATAATAAAAATTAATCAGATGAAACATTTGATTTAAAACAAAGTTTTACAAAAACCCTTTCAAGTATTTTTCTCCTTATCACAGTGAAAATGTAAGATCAAATGTATAAATGAATGACTGGGAAGTTCTTTAGATGAATAAAGGCAAAGTAGTAAATCAAAACATTTATAAAAATGCTTCAACGCATTTCCTTCATGTGATATGAATAAAAAGGTTATTTGTAAAAAGTTAGAAAAATTAAAATAAATTACATATTAAGTACACTTTCCCGTCAACATTTTGTATAAAAATTTGACTAGCATAATATTAATATACACAAAATAAAAACATATTGGGTCCTGCCAAGTACCTGGCACCACTGTACAATACTTTCTTAGTATAGTGTTTCGACTAACATAACGTGATGTTTGTTTCATCTTTAAAAGAACTGTCAGTATACCCAGCTAATCGGGACCCACTGTGATTCCATCCTCAATTTCTCTGTAGCAGTTTGCAACTTCTCAAAAGCTTTGTCTAGGTTGTCATTCACAATAATCAGATCAAAGTAGTGACTATAAGCTCTCTGGATCCGTGCACTCTCATCAACAGTTTTCTTCAAATCAGTATCCTATTAAAATATTGACAAAAAAATAAAAATAAAACAATACTATAAAAAGCAAGCGACTAGGGTCAGGTTTAAAACTGAGAGCCTGCATTAAAAAAAATCTTTTAGAGATCAGCAAGACCAGTTTTCTAGAAAAAAGTATTTAAAATGAATTCCTAAAAATATATTGGTACAGGAATCTATGAGAGTGCAAACAGCTATTTAGTTATAATAGATGTTCTTAATTAGGTTACAGTCTAGTTCTTGGGATTCTTATATGTATAACTCTTTAAACATGTACATAATATGTATACTTTGACATCTTACTTTAGAAATAAATATTTCAATATTTATTACAATCCTGCATTTCAAAAAAAAATTATAACAAAAATAACAAAAGAGCTACATTTCGTGTTATATCAAACTGTATGAACCACATTAGCCACATTCTTCAATGACCATTCTTGTCAATGAACATTTTCCTGGGCCATTTTAATATGCAGATATTTATTTATAAAGCTGTAGCAGCTGAAGACTAAGGTGCCTTAATGACCACCTTCTGTGACACTAACTTATCCAGCTATTTTGCCTGATAGTTTACTCATGAAATTATTTTTCACTTTCTTTCAGTAGAGCTTCATATACCTATTAGGCTAACAAGTGTGTGAATACTTAGGAATATTTAATTATATTTAGAATTATATTTGATATTTGAAATTATCCTTATTAGCTTTCTACCAATCCCGCTGACTTCCATAACACAGTCTGAATCCAAACTGTTATTTTAATACATACTATTCTGGCAATTTTAAATGAATAAATATAGTATCATATATTTAAATGCAGAATGTCATAAACAACAGATTAACAACACATGTTTACAGTAACTAGAAGTGAGCCCCACTTTTCAATTAAAAAACTAGATTAGGAATGTTATTTGAATTAAAATAACTTCTTGCTCCATAATACATTTTAAAAATGTATTGGGAGACATCAATACATTCTTTGCCTCACACCAACAAACTACTAGTCTGGAACAGATGAGGTAGTTATAATAGAATGAAATAAAAATCTGCAACAATCAACACCTAGAAAGTTTAATAAAAGTCCAAGAACTACAAATGGCCAAGCAGAAAGAGGGAAAGGAATCTGAAGATGGCCTGTAGTATATTAAGTGTAGCTTTAATTATGCTGATAAAACAAACTACTCACATTTTTTTTTAAAAAATGATAATTTTCCTTACTGTTAGAAGCTTGGTTGTAATTCCTGCATCAACTACAGCTTTGTGCATTGCACGCAGGGTTTCAAGTTCTGGAGCAGCAATAAAAACTACATAGGGCATAAACTCTGATGTCCGCAACACTTTAAGTGCCTGGGGAAAAAAAGAATTAAGTTATGCATTCAATTTTTTGGAAAATAGGCAGTGTCAGTGTAAGCAGCTTTAACATTATTCAGATTTTCATTATAGCACAGGGAATAATATGTATTTTCCCCTATTTAATAGATAACATGCTTCAATCCTTTCAGTCAAACGATGCCATCTATTAGGACACAGGAAGCGTGCTTTTTCTGCCATTGCATTCAGCCTCTTAAATTACATGCCCCAAGAGATCCATGTGACTGCTGCCCTGATGATGTTCTGGAAGTCATTACAAACACGGCAGTTCTCCCAGGATATTAGTGGTAGATTTAGTAAAAGTGATGAGATACAGAATATGGTTGTCAAGGTGTGTCAGAAATTTTTTCTGTAGTGTTTTCTTAAACTGTAAACTGCTCAAAATTACAGTCAAGCGACTTCTAAATCTACATTTCAATTCAGTTTTATACTTCTCAAAATGATTAGGACCTAATGATAGGGGGAATTTTCTTTAGTTATACTTCTGTAATCTAACAATACAATGTATATTTATCAGGTTACAATTACCATATTCTAGTTAAATTTCAAGTATTTCTACACACAT